AAAAAAAAAACCCCAAAAAACTTAAGTCCTTATCTTCCCCAAAGAGGTTAATCGGGAAATATGGTTTTATGTGCTGTCACAAGTATATGTCAGAAAGTGATTTGAGAGAATAGACTGTTTGGAATTGGGTTTTTAGATAGGTAAAAAGATTGCTTCTGGTGGCATGGCCTAGCTAGGGTGACACGTTTTTGTTTTTCTTAACTTGAAAATATAAATAACTAGACAATACAAATAACTAGTTACATGTTTTTATGCCACTGCCTCTATTAAGTGATAGAATTAATATGTTTTAAATTCTTAAGACTTTTCTTTATAATTTTTCTATCCAAGTTTTACGTGTAAATTTTTTTAAACTTTCTTTTAGGCATGTCACATACTAAAGAACCTACAAAGGATGAACTGACTCAAGCTACGAGTTATTCTGTATGTAGGAACAGATTTTTTTAGAATATTGGTATATGAACCTGCTGAAATTTCTAATGAAACAAAAGTAAATCAGTAAAAAAAATTAGTTTCAGTATTCTGTTTAGAAATAACCTAAGGTAGATGAGTATTGGGAGTATGATTACCATTGCTTTGACGGCACTGGAGACTAACCAATTAGGAAGTATCTATTACTCTTAACCCATGGACATTTAGACACATAGATCAAGTTTAGATATGATAGCTATAACAAGTAGGGAAAATAGTTGTCATGAGCATGTCTACTGTCTGTTGGTAGTGGCTGTTCTTGACAAAGATTCTGAAATGACATCTGGGTACCAAAGAAATACAAAATGATGTAGTAAGTGATTGATGTTTTTACCAAAGGGCATCAAAAAGGTAATACTTACCCATATACCTTGGTTCAACTCAGTTATTCAATCCATTGGACAAACTTGAGCATAATTACCTGCTGAGGGACTGGTTGTTTTAAGTGCATGGTACTCATTATTTTCAACTCTCTTTTTTAGGAGTATTGTCAAGCCCAACAGACCAAAACTCAGGAGAGTGAACTGAAAACAAACACTGTGTTTTCAGACAGTGGTAATGGAACTATTTAAGTTAATTATATTTATTCAGACCAATATCATGGCTAGTTTATTCTTTAAATGCCTTTAAATATTGCTTTGTCTGTGTTTAGTTTCAAGTCCAAGAAAATTAGCCTGTAAGAAAATAAAAGAATATATATTTCATTTTACGTAATTACTGATTTTTTTTCTTCCTCTTTTGTTTTTATAGCTTCACAGTTAACTACAGGCACTCAGCTTTCTCTGGCATCTCCTGGCGTGAATAAAATGCTTCCTTCGGTTTCAGCCACAGCTATTCAGGTTTCCTGTTCTGGCTGCAAAAAAATTCTCCAGAAGGGACAAACTGCTTATCAGAGGAAAGGATCTACTCAGCTTTTTTGCTCTACCCCATGCATCAGTGAATACATTTCATCTGCCAGTTCACCAGCTCCTACCAAGAGAACTTGTTCAAACTGCTCAAAGTATATGATTTTATATTATGCCCTCTTTTTTATTTCTATGCATAGATCTTGATCAGAATCTTGGTTGTAATTTTCTGCATTTTCATTTTTTCAGAATATATGTTGTCTTGGTTTAGTGAAAAGCTGTTTTCAGTTCCTTTAATAGATCCTTCAGAAATTGTCTTTTTTTGTTAATTGAGAGGTTTTCAGAAATTAACATGCATTGGCTCAGTGCCTGTAGCTCAGTGGTTAGGACACCCACCACATACACCAAGGCAGGCAGGATCAAATGCTGCCCAGGCCTGCTAAACAACAACTTTTTTTTTTTTTTTTTTTTTGAGACATTATTAAAATTTAAGAGGACAATCTTTAATTTA